GTACTACAAGATTTCGGATCTTCTTAATTGTTGGCCAAGGGGCCTCTTTCTTGTTGGTAGAATGCCATATATGAAAAAGGGTTACACCCTTCTTTCAATTCTTTAATGATGTAAGCCTTCGGGCACTTTATTCAGTATGCTCGTGTTGTATTTACTGTGCATTTGGACGAGAGAATTGTTATTTATTTCTACCCATTGGACTAAAGAGTTTATTTCCGCACGTTATCTCTGAACTTGAAATTAAACTAATGAATTTGGTAATGACTTCGAGTAATAAAAAGTGGGGCGTGACACCAAGTCTAAGAGCCGGTCAAAATGGGGTGTCTACAATATTATGTGAATTCTTTTTTCTTTTTTCCTGTGACTAATTTTTACTATTTTTATAACTATTTATAAAATTGAAATATATTGTGCGATTAATTTTTATAAAACTAATTTTTGTAACTATTTTTAAGTTTGAAACATAAACTATTAGGTTGAATTTTTAAATTTTGTCTTTTATTTTTTTTAAAAAAAAATTAAAAATAGCTTGATTTTTAAATATCATTTTCATTTTTATATGATTCTATTTTTGTTTTTAAGGAAAATAATATTTGTATGATTGAATATTATTTTTATATTAATTGTATAATTTGATTTAATATTTTTACTAGTCTCTACATTTTTTCTTAACAAATAAAATAATATTTTTGTTTAAAAATTAATTTTAAAAAAATAATATAAAATGTTAGAAATACTTTTGTAATATCTTTTTCATTTATAAATAACTCAGATATATATATTTTTTAAAGTACTTTGTAGGGTGCAAGTCTATTATGTGTGGGGGTACATGTTCATTATGTGTAGGTGCAAGTTTAGTATGTGTGGTGCACAAGTCAAATCTATGTAGTGGTGCAAGTCTAGTCTGTGTTAGCATGCAAGTCGAATTTGTGTGAGGGTGCAAGTTTAGTCTATGTGGTGTGCAAGTCAAATCTTTGTAGTTGTGCAAGTCTAGTCTGTGTTGGCGTGCAAGTCAAATCTGCGTGGGAGTGCAAGTTTAGTTTGTGTGGGGTGCAATTAAATCTATGAAGGGTGCAAGTTGAATTTGTGTAAGGGTGCAAATCTAATCTGTGTGGGATGCATGTTTAGTCTGTGTAGGGGTGCATATTTAGTATGTATAGGGTGTACGTCTATTCTGTATGGTGTGCAAGTCAAATCTGTGTAGTAGTGCAAGTCTAGTCTGTGTTGGCGTGTATGTTGAATTTGTGTGGAGGTGAAAGTTTAGTCAGTGTAGAGTGCAAGTTTAATTTGTGAGGGGTGCAAGTTTAATTTGTGTAGGGATGCAAGTCTAATATATGTGGGACACAAGTTTAATCTGTGTAGGGTGTGGGGTGAAAGTCTAATATGTGTAGCGATACAAGTCTAGTATGTATGAAGTGTAAGTTTAGTTTGTATGGGTGCAAGTCTTACTTTGTGTGTAGGATCAAACATGACCATTATTTTTATTATTATTTTGGTTTGAGTTATTATTTGCATGGTTTGAATTAATATGTTTTTTATTTACATTAGTATTATTCTAAACATTTTCTCCTGTCAATATATCTATATATATATATATTAATTAGCAAAGTAATTTTATTATTTATATTAACTTAAATCATACAAATTATTTTAATTCTATAAATTTTTATATATTTTAGATTATTAATTTAAATTTTTATTAAATATGTGAAATATTAGTTGCATTTTAAAATTTTAAATATATTTTTAGAACAATATCAATTCTATAAAAATAGAATTTGTATATTAAATATTAAATATATTTTAATAAAATAAAATAAATTTAAAAATATAAAGATAAATTTTATTTTATTTTTGTTTTTTTTATTAAAAGAATGAAGTGAGTGTATGTGTGATGGGTAGAACTAGGTGAAGATTATGAGGGGTCATGACCTCTCTGTCACTGTGAAAATTTTATTTGCCATAGTATTTCTAAATATATATATATATATATATATATATATATATGAGTTATTTATAAATGAAAAAGATATTACAAAAGTATTTCTAACATTTTATATTATTTTTTTAAAATTAAATTTTAAATAAAAATATTATTTTATTTGTTAAGAAAAAACGTAGAGACTAGTAAAAATATTAAATCAAATTATACAATTAATATAAAAATAATATTCAATCATACAAATATTATTTTCCTTAAAAACAAAAATAGAATCATATTTGGCAGGAGCCCGCAAGGCCTGACATGGGCCGAGCCGGGCCGGGTCGGGCCAAAATTACACCCCTAATCCCATCTCAAGTCCCATAAATCTTAGGGCCGACCCTACCCTGCCCGACCCGACCCGTAACTCGCAGTACCCTCTTTCTTTCTTCGGCCGCTATAGCTCCTCTCTACCTCCTTGCCACCCCTTCAGGTCCCTGAACTCAACCGGTCAGATATGGTGGGTTTCAATCAACGATGGGCAGAGGAGGTGGGGCTTCAGGTGACGATCCAAGGGGTTGATTCTAGTGGTGATGGGCGGGTCAGTTTTGGTAATGATTTGTTATTGGATTGGGATGATGGTGGTGGTTGGGTATTTTGGTGGTGGTGGTAGCAGTGGATTGCCAGAGTGAAGGGAGATGATAATTGTTGTGGTGGCGGTACTGTGGTTTGGCGGGCGGTGTAATTGTGGTGGGAAGGCAGGTGATGGGGGTGAGGCTTGTGGCGATGTGATGGTGTGTGGAGGTGAGACCGTGGCGGGAAAAAATGGTTGATGATGGTGGTGTATCTCAAATTACTCAAATGTAGTTTTGCCAATTATCAAGGAAGGTCCATGTAACTTGTCCCACCACCTACCGTCACCACTTTCCACCACCGTCTTTCGCCGTCACTTGCCGCCACTTGTCATTTCTCACTCTTTTTTAAATTTTTAAAATTTTTAAATATTTTAAAAAAATACAGTGCACAATTGTATGAAATACAGTGCACATTAAAAACATACAACTCAAAACTCTTTTCAAAATTCATAATCAAACAAATTTTTCTCTTTTTAAACTCAACTCAAAATTCATAATTAAAAATACAACTTTACACTCAAATCATGATTTTAAAAAATAAAATAAAAAAATATCTTTTAAAATTTTTCTTTAAATAAAATTTTGAAAAGAGTTTGGTTGTGAGTTTTGAAAAGAATTTTGAATTAAAGTTTGATTGTATGTTTGATTACACATTTGGAAAAGAATTTTGAATTTTTTTTTATTCGGTAGTATTACATGTACCAATTAGTGTACTAACTAGTAAACCAATACTAGTTATGATATTATTATTGACCCCCCCACTCATTAATAACATTACAAATACTAAAAATATCTTAAATTATGTCACATCATCAATTGGTACATTAATTAATACATATAATATTATTCTTATTTATTAGAATCACAATTCCAAAAGTAAACCACATGCAACCGAAATCAATACAAAAAATATCATTTTCTTGTATAATTTTTGAACTATTTACTGTTGCTAAAAAAAAATCATTGACTGTTAATAACTTTTCTCAAAGTCCACGATTAAGTAATTCTCCCTTATTTTATTGGGTTGTAGTCAGCATTGTTGCCAGTGAGTACGAACATGTAGGAGGCGCCTAATTGTCTATCAGGATCCTCTAGAGTGGGGTTCTCTGAAGTAAGTGATCCAACGGTTCAAAATAAAACTAATTAAAATGACGTCGTTTAAAAATAATAATAATAACAATAACAATAACAACAACAACAACAACAACAAACAGAAATCAATTTTATAGGTTCGCTTTCACTAGTTCGTAGGAGAGTTTGAGAGAGAAAGAGAAGGGACCAGAGCAAGGGAAGGGACAGAGCTTTGATTATGAGTTGAGACTCTACTTCATTTTAGAAATCTTTTTGATTCAAGTGGATAGTGAGTGGTTCTTGTTCTTGATCTATACACTAGTGCTTCATAAATTAGCCCTTGATGATGATGATGATGAACATCCCTTGTTCAAGTCAGCCATGGAAGACCTTCTGTCACCGATTTCCTTCGCCGATCTCCATGTCCGTTGATCGGATCCGCTGATTTTGTTGCCCACTTTGATTTTGATAATGATGATGATGATGATACAGATCTAAATCAATCTTTGGTACTCGCACTATGGAGTCTGTAAATATACATATATGCATATAGAAATACATATCTGAATCAATCTTTTGATGATGATGATAAAGATCTAAATCAATTTTATTATCGAATCGATTTAATCTTCTTCGCAGAGTCTGTATATGTATATACTCCCTCCGTCCCAAAATAATGATCCCTTTTGGGAAATCCAACTTTTTTTGGTAGTACAATTATTGTACTTTAAAAAAAATTGATTTTCCAAAATTACCCTTTGATAGTACATTTTTTAGAAAATATCAATGTCATAATTGTATTTTTTATATTGTTTATGAATTTAAAAGAAGGGCAAAATAGGAAATTTATATTATTTTTGTACTTGATTTTTGAAGAGGGACTAATATTTTGGGACAATGAAAAATGGAATAAGGGACTAATATTTTGGGACGGAGGGAGTATATATATATATATATATATGTATATAGAAATACATATCTAGATCAATCTTTTGATGATGATGATGATGATGATCTGAAACAATCTTATTATTGAATCGATTTAATCTTCTTTTTTATTTATTTAGATCTCATATATCAAAATCTATGATGATGATACAGTTTGAAGCTTCTTTCTCATTTTGTTCATGGTTTTTCTTTTTTCATTATTGTTTTTTTTTTTTTATAATTTCTCCTACCAAAACGACGTCATTTTGACGAGAATTAATCTCAACTTTCATTCCATTAGTGGGACACGTATCGGAACAACCTCATTCACTCTAAGGTATCACTCTAGAGGATCCCGACCCTAACGCCCTAATTGTTATTCACCCCCAAAAAAAAACGCCCTAATAGTTATCGTTTTGTATCCTCCCCACCCAACAACGGCTATACGCCCCCGCCCCCGCCCAACGGTACATTTCTCTCACAAAATTGCAACGGAGACAAAATGTTCCTCTTACATCTTTCTATTCTCCTCTCTCATCATTACGATTAAGCTCACATCCGCTTTCTGCCTATCGCTCTCTGAAAAGTTTTGGTTAGGGTTTCTCTATCTCTCGCTAGAATGGACAGTGGGAGTGAAGGCTTCATCAGATGAACTGCTAAGGAAATTTGCGGAAGTGGGTTCGGGATCCAAAGAAGAAAGAGCTTTCGCAGTTGGCAAAACGACGCCGCTACCACCGGAAAAAAATCACCGGAGAAAATGACGATGATGATGAGCAGTACTGTGAGAGCTCCTCCACCTCCTCCTTAAGCCGCCGGGCCAGTTTGGTTGAGAGGAAATCGCTTCTTCCTGCTGTGGCGGCATCCACCCCACCCGGATGTCGTCTGCGCTGATTGGGAGGTCATGGCTCAGGTCGAGGGATTTCAAGAACATGTCCATTTTCGCCACAATTGACAAGGTTAGTAATTTTACATACATAATATGTGCTATATATTTACATATATACATATTAATTGTGCCAAATTTAGTTGTTTGAATTCTCAACTTATATCTGTAGAATTTGATTCTCTTTGTGTTATATATTCATTTTTGTGTTCAATTTGGCTTCTAAATTAGACTATTCCAAGGATGAGAATGTTCGAGATGGGTTAGTCAGAGGAATGTGAATTCTTAAGTTTTTGCCCTGGAAATTGAATACATGTCCCGAGAGTGCCCTGGAAATTTTTTATTCTTCTGATAAAAATAATATTAACTTCCATCTAAAGAAGATTGATTCTGATGCCATTGTTATTGTTGTTTTGCAAGGTATTAGTATAACTTACTTTCATAAGGCAATTACATCAAATTTGAAACTTATCGAATAAATAGATGCATGTATGTATGTCTGACAACATAATGTGATTGATCAAAATAATAATAAAAAATAAAAAAACCCACAAATTAATTAATTTGAAGTTCATTTTATTTTAATATTTGAAACGCGGGAAATGGGCTATACCGCAGGAAATGGTGGCTGAAATGGAGTCATCCTCCTTTGAGTCCAAGGAGGAAGAGACTTTCCCATGCTGTTTCTTCAGCGCACTTTTAACCTCCATGAGAATCTCCATTTGTTTTTTCAATGACTCTCCTCTCGAGGAACTCTCTCTCTTGTCTGGTAAAATTGGTTCATTTAGAGGTCCAAACACGAGAAAAATTGGTTCACTTTGACAGGGCTTCAAAGGTCTTCCTAGAGATGCATTACAACTGGCACAAGCGCTTGATAAATGATATTGCTTAGACCAAGCTATTTCACACTCTGGAAATTTTTATCTGACCTGGGGTGTTGGGAAGGAAAGTTTGGCCCTTGTGCACTACTAGCGTCTAACATATATTTACTTATTCTTGTATATGTATTTTATCACCACAGCAAAATAATTTAGTTGTTTGAATTCTCAACTTATATCTGTAGAATTTGATTCTCTTTGTGTTATATATTCATTTTTGTGTTCAATTTGGCTTCTAAATTAGACTATTCCAAGGATGAGAATGTTGGAGATGGGTTAGTCAGAGGAATGCGAATTCTTAAGTTTTAGCCTTGGAAATTGAATACACGTCCCGAGAGTGCCCTAATTTTCCCTTCCTCCCTTTTCATGCTCAATGATTTTCCTATCTCCTCTAACTTTGCCGAGTCAGAGAATTGGGCATCATTTTTTTCAAACTCTTCGGTCGCACTGTCCTGCCCCTGTTCTTGCTCTGTTTTGTCTCTGATGCACTCTTCATCTGCACCTGAAAAAGTTCAACAGAAGAAGATATATATTCCAAGGATGCATAAAAAAAATGCTTTTCTTGATATTGTTATGGACTGAAAAGTTTATTTTAACCTCTAAAATGATGATGACATCTGTTTGGGTAGTTTGTCGTAAGGGACATCAAATCAAGTTTGGGGAACCTGGAGCGGATGCTTGCCGGAATTGATTGGAACTTTAATAGCTATGGAGGTTAGGCTGTAGAATATGTATTTATAATTTCTACTATGTTAAATTATTTAATATTCCCTTAGAACTTTCTGAAAGTGCCCGACAGTTGGGTCTTTGGTGAGAACTAATGAATCGTATAACTTGTAACTACTCTTTTTTAGCAATCCATTTATTCAGCAATTTATCGAGTGTATGCAAACATGATTCAACCATTGCTTCCTTGCTGGAATATTGATAACTGATGCATATTTGTAAATAATGATGCTTTTGAACAATAATCAATTGTAAGATTCCAAAGCTTTTTCTTGTCCAGTAGTTGGGTTACCCTTGCGATGGAACCACAAAATACTGCTAATCATTGTCCTGATTAAGTGTTGCTTGATACTTGATATCATCGCCTATACTTTGGTGCAGTTACTAACAAATAGCATCAGTTTCCATCTATTATTGCTGTATAGTTTTTTGCTTTGAGAAAAGTAAAATTCTATTCTATTGATCTATCTAAATAAAAGTAATTGCACTTTGATTGGTTTGAAATTTCTAGGCATCAATTTCTATTGATCTGTCTAAATAAAAGTAATTGCACTTTGATTGGTTTGAAATTTCTAGGCATCAATGAAGGTTGTTACAAAGACTGGAGTCTTGATATTCATGCGGCAAGGAAGGTTGGAAAGTTGTTTGTTTCAATTTTTTACATGTTTTTTTTGTGTGTGTGCCCGCACGCGCGGGCGCGCGTGTGTGTGCATGCGCGCGTGTGTGGAGAGTATACTCCTTTTTATATTCTCTCAAACTTTTTTCTTTTACTGTTAGATCCTAGGTTTCCTCATCTATGATTCTTGAAGGTGGAGCCATTCATGTAGATGGAGAAGGTATCGTGTTTTACATTACCAGGAAATTATACATGGCCATGTTTGGCCTCTTTTAATTGATGCATTTATATTTGAAGAACATTTGGTTGTTTCTCTCGCCAATTCATTCATTCGTACATATATGATAACATGCCCATGTATAGTTGGCGAAGAGATTGCTTAAATTTTTTATACTGGAGGCTAGTACAAAGTTGATCCCCCTTTCTTTATTCAAGATATTCAAGATGTTACAAGTGCATAAAATAGTTTTTAACAAACTCCATTTCTTACCACCTTAGCTGTAATTTGTTAAGTGTTCATAAGCCACTATGAACAAAATGATACGTATGCAAAGAAATAGAAGAAGATAATTACCTGCCTTTTGGTTACTTAGAATTGCACCAGAATTGTGTAATATAGCTTTTAATAGGCCTTGGTCTTAAAATTCATTTCTTATGAATGAAAAGCTAAGAATCTTTTGTAGTAGCATTATTGGACAAACAATTGACGTTGGGCAGGGAGGGATGGAGCAGGAAGGGGTTACATTAGCCGAGTAATGTAGTGCCTTATTCCAGCTGCTTATTAAAATCACTTTCATTGTCTACGAAGAAATGATATCTCTGTCACTACCGTCATAGGTGAATCTGATTTGGAAAAAACACCATGGATAGTTCTTGATACCCTTGGAATTCCTTCAATGTAAGTTGTACTGACACTTCATGTTAGTACAGTCTAGATGTTGGGACTATAGGGCAACATTGAACTAAAAAAAAGGGATTATTTGGTGATTCATAGATCAGGCTTGAACTTTTTTGGAAACCAATTTTGATTACAATTTTTCTCATTATATTTATGTGAAAAAATACATTTTATTTTTTTTTAAAGAAAAAAGTTTAGGAATAAATACATTTTATGGATCACTTTAGATCATTAAATTTTATGTTTTGGAATGAAGTGTGACATATTTCAAAGCACATGTTCCCAATCTCCAAACCGAAATCTCTAGAATAGTAATATATTATAATCTAATAACACAAGGAATATAAAATCTATTAGGGTGATGCTTGATGATAGCTCACTATTTTTATTATTGAAGGGGCCATAGGAGTTCCTTTCCTTTTTCTCTTCCAATAATGAAACCTTCATCAATCCTCTGCTTATTGTTCTTCTTTCTGTAATGATTCTTTAGGTCATATTCTATTTGTGACCATCAACTAGTGCATCACTGTATAATTTGTTTGCACAAAACACATTTCAAAACTAGATTTCTAGCTGTACCCTTATGGTTTCGAATATTGCATATTTCAGATTTGTTCATAAATTGTTTCCTTCCTTCAGGGACTTGTCTTACTACCGAGGAGTGCCTCTTGAATAAAAACAGGAACCCTCATTTGACTAAAGAGCAAGTTGAGGATGAACTTAAAGCATATCTTGGAGTCAAGAAGATTATTTGGTTGCCTCATGGATTATTTGGTACCCATTCACCTTGAATATTAAGCACACATGTATAAATATTTTGCATTGAAATTTGAGATGCCGTTCTTGTATATTTCATCCATATTTTTTGGTCTACCTGGCAATCTAGATATTTCTTTAATTTGGTTGGTCTATGTGGCTATTTTTCTCATCAGGATGATGATGAAGCATTCTCATGCTTAAAAATGATGCGTTGGTGTGCAATTATGCATACGAACATGAAATTAATGTTGTATAGAGAGTTTAGGCCGAAACCATAGTTCTAGGATTTGAACTTCAAATAAGAGTTTAACTCTACAATTTTTGGTATCTGTTGCAATTTTTGCATTCTTTAATTTGGTTGGTCTATGTGGCTATTTTTCTCATCAGGATGATGATGAAGCATTCTCATGCTTAAAAATGATGCGTTGGTGTGCAATTTAGCATACAAACATGAAATTAATGTTGTATAGAGAGTTTCTGCTGAAATCGTAGTTCTAGGATCTGAACTTCAAATAAGAGTTTAACTCTGCAATTTTTGGTATCTGCTGCAATTTTTGCATTCTTTGGGTAGGTGTTGTGATGATCAGTAACTTGAATTGCAACCTAGTCCTTTCGAGCAATGGGCTCATGCCAAGTGCTTGACTTTTTGCATATCGAGAGAGATATAAATCATAGGGCTTTATTTTATTGGAAATTTCAAGCCCAGGCTGTTGCTTATGTTATATGGTATGAAAGTTGTGTGTTTTGATGTTGATACCTAGAACTTAGAAGGGATACAAAATTCTGAAGTTAAATATAGACAAACCTGATATTTTCGTTTCCCTTGTATCTTGCGATATATGATACTTGTTGTTCATATCTTGCCATTTAGCAAGTTAATATTTTTGAGGTATGTATAATGAATATGTCAATACCTTAGGCATTTTTCTGGTGTTAACTTGACTTTTGTTTATCTATAAGCTGTCTTCAAATTTCCAAAGGTATATAATGTACATAATTTTGCCTTTAAATATGTTTTAATATATATATATATATTTTTTTTTCTGTATTTTGTGCATTTATTGTATATAAGATTTATGCTTTGCGTTTAGAAGGAAAAATATTGACAAAAAAATGATGGTTATTTATATATTTTGCAAAGGAAATGCAGTAAGGAACGAGAGGAATTGCTATATGGACAGTCTTGAGAGATTTTGGGCTTGCTGGAAAACTCCTCCATTCTAAAAATCCTTAGAACAAATATAACAAAATCTAGCACTGCTTTAGTGGGACAATGACTTAACTCCTTTGTGATTTTGGTTTTGAAAGTTTTGAAATTAGTTAGGGGTTGTGGACAACAGTGAGAGGCGAAGGAATAGAGTTGGTAAGACGGGTGTGACTACATATTTAGGATGGACCATCATACCGATACTTTATGAATCCTGCTAATATATGTTTCCTAGTTGCAATTCAGAAATAGATGAAACAAAAAGATGTGATTCTGGTACCCCATTATTTGACCCTTGGTCTATGCAGGATAGCATGCTTTGAGAGTAAAAACTTTATGCAAGGAAATGAAGTTTCCCTATCTATTGCGACTACATATTTATCTTCATCCTGTGCCTTCTGAATCCTCATCATCTTATCTATTTTCCTATGAGGATATGGGATCAATAATCTTGATTTTGACATTAATGTGTACTAATTTGGCATCGTTTTTAATAAAAGTTTGTACATAGAAGTTGCTAGAGTTACTTTCTCCAACATGTTTGTGCTTTTTGCTGCCTCATCGTTGAAGCTTTTCCTATTGATTACTAAGAGGAAAAAATAAAAAAGACCAAAGTTTAAACAGTATATTTTTAGTGAACCAAGGCCCTTAACATGGTGTTTTGTAGGTGATGATGATACTAATGGTCATATCGACAACTTGTGCTGTTTTGTGAAGCCTGGTGCGGTTTTGTTGTCCTGGACTAATGATGAATCAGATCCTCAGTATGAGCGATCTGTGGAAGCCTTTTCTGTTCTCTCTCATGTTACCGACGCTAAAGGTAGAAAATTAGAAATTATTAAACTCCATGTACTTGGGCCACTTTACATGACAGATGAAGAGGCAACAGGACTAATTCAGGTAAACATGATTCTTAGAATTTTACTGTCACAACTCTGTATCCATTCTGGCTACTCTTTATCCACTAACTGAAAAGTAAATTTATATTTTTTGAGATGTTATGCTCATGTTTACTGAACAATACTGATGGAGATCAAAATTTACTAGTTTTAGGACTGTCAATTTGCAGAACTTGAGGTCAATTTTCCTCCAACAAGAGGGGAATAACGTAATCTAGTCGATGTGAGACCCACGAGAAGATGATAAATTGATTACTAGTGTTAAGTACTTTGTCTTTGATTTAATATTTTTATATTTTCTTTCTTTTAGGACTTTTAATGGCTTTAGTGCTAAGACTTGAGTCTTTTTAGGTATCTATGTTGGGTAGGAATTAGGATTGGTTTGTAAAAGTTTCCACACATTTTCATGATTATCTACAGACTACACAACCTATAAATAGGCTCTATTGTTGTAAAACGAATTTGGCATCACTTGCATAAATAAAATTAGATTTGATTGATGGATCTCTCTCCCTCTCTGTGTTGCTGTTGCTTTTTCATCCTTAATCTCTCTCTCTTCTCAGGTGGTGGTTCTCCTCTCTCATCTTTACCTCCCTCTCTCTTCTTCACTCTTCATTTTCCCCTTTTCTCTTATATCTCCACTGTAAATATATATTTATATTCTGTCTTATTCATTGTCCTTGACTTTCTTGCTATCTTTTCTCTCTTCATTATATCCTTCTTCTATTTTATCTCATTGTTCTTCTCGTCTCCTGTCTTATCTTATTCTTCTACTCTCTTTCATCTTTCTCATCTCCATCTTGTAATATGAAAAAACAAAAAACATCATATTATTTTGCCAATCACGTGTTCGAAGAAATTCTCATGAAGGCCATGCTACTTTATGTGTGTCTGTATGTATATGTATGTGCACACATACTCATGCAAGTAAATATCAAGAATTAAGGTGTCTGCATGAGTTTTTGTCTCCTTTACAATATATATACTCTTTCACGTAAGCCGATATGTTGACTCCTGACAAAAAAGGAGACATTGTAAATTTTGTAAATTTAGTACCTCTCTGAGAATGCGTGTATGCGATTATCTCCTGTCGTCCTGATGTTTATTTCCTGTTTTATTTTATGTGTTCTATTAATCATGTGAGACGTAAATCAAATACATTCGGGTTCCCGATTTGGGAGTCAAAGCCAGATTTCACTCTAGGCAAACTAGTTCTTTAAAAAACTTGAATTTGAGGTGTTGACGCCCCAAAATCACCAAACGAGGTCGGATTAGCACGAAACTTGGCACACACGACCGCCTAGGCATGAGAGACTTGTGGGAGAAGACAGGGCTCGAATCAGGTTTTCGGTTTGGGAGTTAGAGCTGGATTTCAATCTAGGCAAACTAGTTCCTTAAGAAATTTGAATTCGAGGTGTTGATGCCCCAAAATCACCAAACGACGTCGGTTTGGAATTGCTGCAAATGCCACAAAAACAAGATGAGGTATTTTATGTTGTTTATACGGGACTCCCAATTTGAAAACTAAGTCCAAAAAGGTACTTTTCTCATACTTAATCTTGAAAATAGGCCATCGGGGGCCAAAATCGTGTAACAGTCACAAGAAGTCCTGGGAAAAACATCAAACACCTCCGGCGGGTCCAATGTAAGTTGTGGAAACTTACGGAACTTGCACAGGACTTCCGGTTTGAAAACTTAGTCGAAAAGGGCACTTTTGTCACACTTAAGCTTGAAAATAGGCCGTTGGGAGCCAAAATCATGTAACAATCACGAGAAAGCCTGGGGAACACCTCAAACATCTCGAGAAGGACTAATTCAAGTTGTGGAAACTTACGGAACTGCCACGGGACTCGCGATTTGAAAACTAAGTAAAAAAATGTACTTTTTGAATACATAAAATTGAAAATAGGCCATCGGAGGCCAAAGTCGTGTAACAGTCACGAGAAGGCCCGGGGAACACCTCCAACACCTCGGGAGGGACCAATGTAAGTTATGTACACTTACGGAACTAGCAAGGGGCTCCCGATTTGAAAATTATGTCAAAAAAATGCACTTTTTTAACACTTAAGCTTGAAAATAGGCCATTGGGGGCCAAAATCGTGTAACAGTCTCGAGAAGGCCCGGGGAACACCTCCAACATTTCGGGAGAGACTAACGTAAGTTGTGGAAATGTACGGAACTGAGACAGGACTTCCGGTTTGAAAGTTAAGTCGAAAAAGGCACTTCATTCACCCTTAAGCTTGAAAATAGGCCATCGGGGCGCCAAAAATGTCAAACAGTCACAAGAAGGCTGGGGGAACGACTCAAAAACCTCGGGAGGGTCCAATGTATGTTGTGGAAACTTACGGAACTAGCACGGGACTTCCAGTTTGAAAACTAAGTCAAAAAATGCACTTTTTCTACATTTAAGCTTGAAACTAGGCCATTAGGGGCCAAAATCGTGTAACAGTCATGAGAAGGCCCGGGGAACACCTCAAATCCCTCGGGGGGGACCAATGTAAGTTTTGAAAACTTACGGAACTAGCATGGGACTCCCGGTTTGAAAACTAAGTCCAAAAAGGCACTTTTTCACACTTAAGCTTGAAAATAGGCCATCGGGGGCCAAAATCGTGTAACAGTCACGAGAACTTCCAGGGAACACATCAAACACCTTTGTATGGACCAATGTAAGTTGTGGAAAATTACGAAACTAGCACGGGACTTCCGGTTTGAAAACTAAGTCGAAAAATGCACTTTTTTCACACTTAAACTTGAAAATAAGCCATCCGAGGCCAGAATCATGTAACAGTAACGAGAAGGACCGGAGAACACCTCAAACACCTCGGGAGGTACCAATGTAAGTTGTGGAAACTTACGAAACTAGTACGGGACTCCCGATTTGAAAACTATGTCAAAAAATGCACTTTTCT